AAAAAAAAAAAAGAAAAATCATTACAAGAAACTAGGAATAAGAAATTTATTTTGCACATTAGTTATATCCCTATTTTGCTGCTACATTTTAATGTGAAATTTTAAACAGGTTGGGAAAGATTGTCTTTAAAAAGAAGCTGTATCTCTTGAGCTATTTTGACTAGTAGCACAGTAGTCTTTTAATACTCCATAACCATCAAATGAAACCCTAAAATATCAATTTTCTTGAAATCAGTTTATCAAGAATTACTCTAGCACATGTTAAAAATCAAACTGAAGAAATCATCAAACCTCTATGAGAGAACATCTTGGTAAACTGCTCTGCAACAGCTCTCATCAAATAGGTCATGTAGGCAGTTCCACACTTTGACAGAATGCACTTTTCTGTCAAAGCACTCTTCATATTTGTAACTAGGTAACTGCTTGTTATTCATTGATTAATGATTACTTCGACTACTTCCTCCACTTGACCTTCACAGGAGGGCAAGTATTTTACTAAGCCATTATATTCCAAGCAAGACCAGTTATTCAACAATAAGTATTTATTGAATAAAGGAATAAAAAGTTAAATGACATACCTAGAGGTAATGTCTAACGTTAAGAACCAGAATTAAAACTTAGGGAACAACAGCAAAATGGGCAGAGCAGTACATTTTGCTTATGAAGAAAGCAAAGGACCCGAAATAACCACACAGTTTTAATTTATAGTAATAACAAGTTTCATGTTTCTCCATGTTAATTTAATAAAATTAAAAACGAGAACTATAATCCTCCAAAACCTTTGATCATAGAAAATTTTATGAAGTGTACCATAGTTTGAAACATCACTTATCATTAATTGTCAAGAAGTACTATATCAGATGGGAGTTCTGGTAGTGTAGTGCCTAAGGCACTTGACTGCTAACCAGAAGGCTGGCGGTTCAAACCCACCAGCCACTCCTTGGAAGGAAGGCTGGGCAATCTACTTCCGTAGTGATACTGCCTCGGAAACCCAAGGAGGGGTCACTATGAGTCGGGTCTGACTCGACGGCACATAACAACACAACAACTATATCAGACATAGTAAGTGATTGAAATGTAAATATTATAGTGATTTGAGGATGCTATTATTACTGGCCAGTATTTTAAAAGATAACTGCCTGCCACAGACAAAGTTTTGCTAGGTCTGAAGGTCAGAAAAATGTGTAAAAGAGGGTGTATTTCTTTTAAAAGATAATATAGGGAAATGGATGTATTATGTATCAAAAGATAAACAGTTAAGAATATGATAGTTCTAATGAGTGGTAAAGACAATATTGGTGCTAAAAAAATTAGGAAGAGGGAGATATTACTGAATTTTCAAATATTTAAGCACTCTTCTCCCTTATTTTAGGCAGTTAACAACTCCCCCAAATAACACTTAAGGCTCACTACTTTCTTATTAGAATTTTATGTAGTGCAAAATAAATAACAATATTCTTTTTCATTAGATTTTATTTTATTGTTATTATTTTTAATGATTCTGAAACCCAGGTTACTGAAAAGAAGCTAATGAGGAAGCTTACCTGTTGATTGGCTGGTGCCATCAAACAGATCAACAAGGTCACCAGATGATTTGCTGCTAGGCACTGAAGTCTGAAAACAAAAACTTAACTAATAAGCTTAGAAAACAACCATGTTTTTCTAAAAGCTTTCAACAGGAAAAAACTAACTTTAACATTTTAATCAGCTTACCCCTCTCTAATTCTCAACTTAAAGCAAATACCTGTAATTAATAAGGCTTGATTCAGTTTTCTGGAAATAGCAATGACCCTGAATCCCGATGGAAAGGTAGTTAAGAAAGCCTATTCCTGGTACTGTTGAAAGTCCCTACTGTCCACCCTCCTCTTTTTCGTAACTCATTTATGTTCTTACAGCATGTCAATCTGGAAATCATGTATTTCAGATCCCACTCAAATCTTAATGCTATGTATCAGAATCATTTGTGAGACATTAAAAAATATGTATGCCTGAATACCACATAACATACTGAGTCATAATTGCCCAGAATGAGGCCTTGACTTGCACAGTCTTAAAAAGCTCCATTGATAATTCCAATGCATTACGAAGTCTGAAATCCACTGGATTAGAGGCCAAGTTCCTAACCAGATCTAGCTCTAAAAATCTATGATTCTAGGAACTTTAGCAACGCTTACTGTTTGCACACTACACACATTAGTATAAAGCTATGTGGTCTGCATACCTTGATTTCTAATTGGTTGAAATTCAGTTCCCAAAACGAAATTGCAGGGCCTACTTGGTGTTATAATACTATTTTTTAATTCTCCATAGTGCTAAGCACCCTAAAGCATATGCCCTGTATGTTTGAAACATACACACTGAATCAGAACTGAATTGCTAGGCAATAGAGAGACACTGCAAGTTCCTAGAAATTTTAATTCGATCTTTGAAGTTTAAAATACTATATTGTGGTTCAAAATAACCTTGAGACTGAAAGGGATCAGAAGCAGCTGGATAAATTTTCAAGAACTTCAGCCTTATAGAATTTTTTAAATATAAAAGCAGACAAAACAAGCTTATACTACAAATGTAAAATATTTATGGCAGAATGGCATATATTCAGGCAGTAGGAAAAACGGAAATTTAAAATTCTTTAATATAAAAATGTCAATTTATTGTTAAAATAAAAACAATTACACAGTTTTGATCATTTCCTTCCTGGAATCTTGACACGAGTTCCTAGTACGACAGCCATCATTTATTTGGGTTTTAAGTAATAAATTATCTACCAGATCCTAAAGGAGCTCTGGTAGCATAGTGCCTAAGGCATTGGACTGCTAACCAGAAGGCTCACGGTTCAAACCCACCAGCCACTCCTCGGAAGGAAGGCTGGGCAATCTACTTCCATAGTGATACAGCCCGGGAAACCCAAGGAGGGGTCGCTATGAGTTGGGTCCGACTCCATGGCACATAACAACAACAACCAGATCCTAATGTCCATCAGTCAGCTGTTTCCACAGCAAGAGAAATCTAGACCACAAAGCAATGAGAGTCATTTTCCCTCTTTAACTATGACTGAAGTTGTTATAATTTCCAGGTTTTCATCAAAATTAAGGAGAGCACAGCATGGTTGAAATTATATACCAGTCCAGAAGATACCTGGCAAAAGTTGGTACTTAACCTTGTAATTAAGTAGGCCTGTCTTTATTTCTAGAGTCACCTACAATTTGCAAACTACATTAAAAAAAAAAAAAACTTCCCCAGCATTTAGCTACTTCTGACATAACCATAAAGTTGCATAAACACTAGACTAGTGGGGGAAAGCGACAAAAAGGGAAATTTAGTCTTCTGGGGCAAAATCTCTCTCTATGGCAGGCTTCTTACTCATAAAACTAACTAATGGCCAAGTATCCAATAGGTGGAATTCATTTCCATGGTAAAAAATAAATAAATAACCAAATTATGAAGGTACAAGAAGCAGTGCTTCTGCTACTGATCAGCTGTGACCACCAGGCAAAGCAAGTCTTCCTTTATAGGCATCACTGCATGTAACATGAGATTAGTGCTCCCATGTATCGACTCAGGAAGATGAGACAATCTACTTCTGTAAAGATTCATATTAGCCTTGGAAATCCCAATGTTGGTTGCTATGAGTCAGAATCAACTTGAAGACAGTGGGTTTGGTTTTTTATGGCTTACATTTTGACTTAGTGAAGGAGGTCAGGTGGTACAGTGCCTAAGACATTTGACTATTAACCAGAAGGCTGGTGATTCAAACCCAAGAGTGCTCCGTAGAAGGAAGATGGGGCAATCTACTTCCATAAAGATTTACCACCTTGGAAACCCAACGGGAGTCACTGAGTCAGAATCGACTCAATGGCAGGGGGTTTAGTTTTTTTCCCCAAAAATCTATTTAGTGCCTCTTTTTTCATTTTAAAAAACTTCCAAATACTCCAATGTTTTCCTTAGTGAATCAAGCTGTGCTTGGTAACTAGCACTGGTACCTAGAAGGAATAGATGTACTATGTTCTGATGTATCACCTTTCCCAAATGAACCAAGAGTGTCATTTGTACTTTCATAGAAAGTGCACAGGAAATCTTTCAGCAGTTGGACAGGTTTCTTCTCCCAAAGAGGTTTCTTATTATTAATGACTCTGAGTAATACATGCCAGATGATTTATAATTAATATGATTGCTCAGAACCACGTGAGGCTACTAAGGCAGGAATTCTGAAAGTAGTTTATAAGAATAAAACTGTGTATAATGTGTAAATTCATTGCCATTCCCACCTTAACTGAAGACTGAGGTGCATGGGTTGAAGCATTCTGATCTGGACTTGCTTTGTCCCCTGTGTAATGTGCTGCTGCTCCAAGATCAATGGTTTTGGAAGGATTTGCTGTGCGCTTGTGTCTGGTTGTGGTGGTCTCTGTGGCCTGTGTGATATGGATATGCTTTGTCGTCACAGTCTCCTCTTCATCTTTGAATTCACCTTTGGGAGATCTGCCTCTTCTCGCTTTCTTTTCCTCATCACTGTCGCTAAAAGATATTAAAAACGAAGCCAAATAATAAGACTTGGGATTATCTTAAAATGGAGTCCTCAGTGATTTGAGCTAAAGAATTTCAAATGCAGTAACTCCAAAATTCTATACTCTGACTATTTGACAGGGATCAACAGAATGTTACCTAAGCTATCTGAATAATGATGTGTGTGCGTGTGTGTGTTGGGGAGGGGAGATGAGAACCCAGAGAATTCCCTAGATAAGTCTAAAACACTGATACAAAAAGTATTTACATAAATGTGTAAAATAAAATGTCTGGAATAACTTAAGTGCTTATTTATTATAGATTTAAAACTTAATTAAAAATAAAGTAGCAGGATTATCATCATATCAGAATCAACTAATAAGACCCTGGTAGTTCAAATATCTGCATTTGACCATTTTTTTTTAAACGGACTGTGTGGAAATGGCTATAGTTCCAGTTTATATAGTGTAATTCATCATCAATTCCCACGTACTAATGCACATACATAGTAAAATATTACAATTTCAATGGATACTTTTAAAATATTATCCTATCTGAATTCAAATAATACAAATGCAGAAATATGTGAGGTAATGCATTTCATAACTGTGTTTTATTTTACTATAGTATTATATCAAACTTTTATGTAACTATGGAAAGTAAAGAAAACTTCACTATATTTAAAGTGTTTTAAAAATTAATTCCCTTTCGAGCACCTTTTCATTTTCAGTCAAAAACATATTACTTTCTTTTTTGAAAAGAGCAAAAGAAAAAAATACCGAGTAAGTAAAGAAGTGGGTTTTTTATATGCTTGGAATGAAAATGTCAGTACTATTCTGTTCTCCAGAAATAATGCATTGTTTTTTTTTTTTTCTGGTACAAGTAGGAGGGAGGGAAATAAGGAAGGAGGAAAGGAGGGAGAGGAGGAAAGAGAAAGATTATCTGGAATATGTGCCATTATCTATATTACTTAATTTTAGAGTAGGTGGTTTAATTTATAAATACCCTAGAATAAAATGCTTAAAATTCTCCATTAAACTGTGACTATTATTACTGATGCAATTTAACTCAGACTAATCTGAAGCAATTTTCTACTTAAATATAAGCCAATTTAGAACTTGTAGAAATCAAAGATTAAGAAGGATGGCTTCCTACAAAGAGCAAAGGGCTTAAATGTATTTTTATAGAGAGAACCTACTAACTACTAGTAAATGTTCAAAATCCCTTGTCATTTACTAATTTCTCAACAACACATGATCAACAACTTATCTACCATAAGCCCTATATATAAAATTGAAACTTCATACATTTTTGATGTCTAATTTTACTTCAGTGCATGACAAATTTCTTTACAACTTGAGCATATTAAACTGTCTAGCATACATTGAAATGGAAGCTTCATAACTGATTAATATTCAAGAATTCCTGAATCCAATAGGAATTACAAGTCCTAAATCCTCGTATCATGCCAGAAAGGTCACCATGCACCTTTGCCTAAAATAATTTTCACTTCAAGATGTAAACTTCTAAGTATGTCCTTTAGTTACTATGATAAATCACACATGCTACATCGTCACTTTTTTAAACCTTGTTGTTGTTGTTAAATAAAAATTTAGGAAGTACAAACTCTAGTAAAGCCTGTCCTAGAGGCAACACAGAAAGAATATCAAGGAACACATAGAGAAAAAGAAAAGGAGGCAAACTAAGGTAAGAAAAACAGGAGAGAATGGCAAAGAAGAAAATAACAATAATCTCTAACCAGGTTATATACCTGATCCCCACAATTTTTTAGGAAGTATCAATAGACTATTTGGCCACATATTCCAAACTAAACCAAAAACTTACACATAGGCCACAAGAACATTAACAAGAGAAAAAGAGCCCAGCATATTTGAAGTAGGCATCATTTCCCAAAGTTTAGTATTTATAATTATCAGATACATGCTCTTTCAATACTAAAAAGCTAGAAATCTAACTGTAAAATAATATACTCAAAGCACTAAAAGCGAAATCTGGCTCTTCAAAGATCACACTCCAGAAATAGTCTTGCATTCTTGGGATTTAACAAGTATGGAATCACTGAAAAGATACGAGGCAAATATTTCAGAACCTGAATGGTTACAAAATTTGCATATGTTCTTCTTTTTAATAACCTCTATTACTATCTGCTGCTTTAGGCAAATTCTATTTGAATGATTCTCAGGTTTTACCTTCGAAAAAAAAAGGGTAAAAGCCTCATTCTACCCTATCTAATAGGGATATTATGAGACACATATGAAAAGTTCCGTAAAACTTGCTTTGTAAATTAAATGTCACACATTCTCTTTTAAATTAGTAGAAAAACTATATATGCTACATTAGTAAGAACAAAGAGTGAATGTAAAGTTTCAAGAAATTGTTAAAACCAAATGCAAGTGCCCTACCATCAGAAAATGTAATGCATAAAACTATGATCCACACTTGTTAACTTTTTGGTCCAAAAGTCCATTTGAAGTTTTTTTTTCTGGTACATGCTGGCACAGAATCATAACAAAATGCAAAGTGAGGATTTAAATTTCATATGCTTTACACTTCATTACCTCTCAACAATACTTTAGATTTCTGTATCATCTGATGCCCAAATGCAGATTAAGTTGTAAAAATTCTTAATGAAAATAATTTTTTTTTCCAAGAGAAGAGTAAGTACTATGCATAAAATATGTAGGGAACATGATCAACATTAGAAATAAGTGGAAACAGAAAACTTGAAAAATGTGTCAATACTAACTGCAAATAATGTTTGCTGTAGCATTTTTAAAAAGCTGCAAAAATTTAGCACCCTTTCCAAGAGACCTAGGAGACAAAGTGTTAATACCTGCATCTTTCTGGAGAGTCTTCTCTATCTTTCCTCCGGAACTTGCTGATGGTGTCATCAATTGTGCTTCCAATTTTATCACTCAGTTCACCTAATTTATCACTGAATGGAAAAGCACTCTTGTTTTTATCCCACTCCTCATCCCATTTTGATTTGGGCTCAGGATCATATCTTTCACCTATATAAAACATTAAAAAGAGAAGCAACTCTAAAGACATTAAATTCAAAGGATGTCTATAATTCTTATTTCTGAAGCTTTTCCTCATAATAAAGTAGTTTTCAAAGGAAAACAGAAAGCTCCCACAGTGCTGAATCAACACAATTACAGCAAGGCACAGCATGTAATGCCAGTCATTAAGTGGCAGGAATGCAGATTCAAAAGCTTTTGTTTATGAAAACTTACACAACCTTAATGCATAGCACAGCATATCAGGAAGTTCTTAAATGCTGTTGAAAGGAGTAGTAGAAAACACAAAAACTGACAACATAAGGTATATAAGCAAAAGAGAAATGGAAATCTTTTTGTTTTTACAAAAGTTACTTAATGTATTATATTTCATTCCTTTTAATGGTTTTTCAATTATTAGAAAAGAATTGGACCGCAATCATCTCTTAAAAAAACACAAACTAAAAGAAACACCATTCTGGATGTTTCATGTTCCAATATGCTGAAAGGATGCAATAACCACCATTCATTAGTATCAAACTAGAAAAATAACTCAGTGGATTTTCAGGTACATGAAAGCATTCTGCAATTACTGCAAAGAGAAAGCATATTCTAATGAACAAAACTATACACACTAGAATCATGAAAGTATGTGCAAGCAGTTCAGAATAGTGGTGACCAGTTTCTGGGTAATGAAAATGGTTAACGTACTTGGGTGCCAACTGAAAGGTTGGAAGTTCAAGTTCACCCAGAGGTGCCTCAGAAGAAAGACCTGGCAACCTACTTTTGAAAAATCAACTAGCAAAACCCCTATGGAGCATTTTCTGCTCTGACACACATGGGGTCGCCATGAGTTGGAGTCAGTTCGACAGCAACTAGTAACGAGGTATTCATGAAGTCCAAATATACACGCAGACAGAGAAACCCAGGCAGCTTCTAGGTGAACATGGGAATGAAGAAAATAAAGCATGGACGTGAACAAATCTCAAACCAAAATGGCAAGATTTGTCTTAGATCTTGCAATTATGTGCACTAAATGGAAACTTTCCATTTGCATGTCCAAATCCAACTGAAGAGGCAAACGTGAAAGATAATCACAGAGGTTTAAAAAAAAAAAAAAGGAAAGAAAATTAAGGCACGTTGAAGAGAAAATGGAAGAAGCAATGAGGAACAAGAAAATAACCAAAAAGTGAGTAACTGAGCTTCTGTAAACAAATTCTGGTGGTATGTTAACAAAACCATTTTGCTGAATTACCTAATAAAACTACAAGATTACAATTTTTATGCAAGAGCTTGAGGATTTTAAATTATGCTTATTAAATCTGAATGTAACCACCAACTTAGAAAACATGGCAAAAAAGAAATTTCCTAGGCAAAAATTTTCCTCAAAATTAAGTGATGTTTCAACAATGTGTATGTATATTGCAACAACATCATGAATAAATTTATAGAAAAAATGAAACTAGATGGAAACCAAACTGATTAGCATGGTAGACATCATGCTAAATTAGTGCGAAGGATATTAGATACTGGTAAGATGTTATATAATTTTGAAATAAAACCACACACACAAGAGATAAAATTGATTAGTTATATGTCTCTGATAATATGAAACATTAAAAATATTTTTGCAAATAATGCAAACATAGAATGTTCAACTATACCTCTAATGCAGATGCTGCAATTAGTTCACTGTAACTGTATCTGAAAAGTACTCAATTTTCTAATTTTATCTGATATAATTACATATTGTGCTGATAAAAATACAAACAAGTGAAATGAGAAAATGAGTGGCGAATGGCAATTTCTACTAAAAAATACATTACGCTGCTACAGCTATTCTGATAATGCTAAAGAACAAAATAACCACTTAGTCAAATAATCCAAAATTTCTTGCTCTCTTAAATAAAAACCTCCAAAACAAATCTGTATTCTTTATTTAAGGAAAATGTTCTTGTCTAATTCAAGAACTGACTTGTATGTGACATTTCAAAAAGGATTTTTTTCTGCTGTTAGAAATATCCTTCAACAGCTAATTAAGTGCAATATTTTTTCTTTCAGAGCAGCAAGTTGGAGAAGCAAAGGATCAAAGATACTAAGCTATTTTAAAGGTAATCACAAAATAAGAAATCAAAGGTTTTTACATAGTTCCAATAAAGGAGGTAATCCACCTCAGGACAATCCATATATAAACAAATTGAGACATGGGTAGGGAGCTAGATAGTACCAACACCCAGCTGCTAAGATACACAAGCACTGGCCTGGCCGTACATACACAAAATGACCAAGGGGATTACCAGAGTTTGCCTTATTTTATGTACTTGTTTTCAAGCATCTGGTGTCCTATTTTAAGGAAATTATTTTATTACATTAAAACCAAACATGAGAGATGAATGTTCTAGCTGCTCTTAAATGTGTTAGGAACCATTAAGCAAAGTGATAGGCCTAGAAGAAAAATTGACAGCATCAACAGTCATCTTCTATGCCAAATTAACATTTTATACATTACTTAATTAACAGCAGAGAGACTGAGGCTGGATCGACTTATTTATAATAAGCTTAGCTATTTGGGGCCAATAACAGAGCTACATTGATTTTGAATTAGGCAGATGCATCTCTAGAACACACTTACGGTTTTATGTTCTAAAGCGGGAGTAGAGAAATATTTTTCTAAAGAACAGTAATGCTAAGAGGGAAGGGTATGTATCTGTTTTACTCTCTGTATGTCAACTCAAATTTTGCAGTCATTTTAATTAACCATTAATAGTTAAAATCATATTTTTGAATACACAAAAGGAAAAAGTAGAAAAGTTCCCAAGATCCATTTGGTAAGACACTAGAATGAGTATTATGTTTTTTTCAGTAGTCTATGTATTGCTGAATAAATGATATTTTAGTCTTTAGTATTTCAATGACTCTTATAATACATATCAAGTAGCTAAACCTATGCTTAGGTGCCAGTCTATTTTTTGATACTCACTGTATCTGAATCCTCCAACACTGTCTGAGGACACCCCAACATATTTGTCTTTGTTCTTCTTTGCTTTTTTTCGTTCTTCACGAAGCCTGTCGTCATCCTGGGCAAATTCAACCAATTCTTTCACCTTTTGGCGAATATTTATACCCTGATCCTTGCCATGCTCATCTGTGAGAATGGTGAGGGAGAAAAAACACCTTAAGAATTAATTCAACATTTATCAAACTCTTTAAAAAACAAGACACTAAAATTTCTACATTATAAGAAACCAATGTATTTGTCAACAGTTTAAAAAAATAATAAAAAGTAGTGAACTGTGCTATTCAACTTTGTCATTTCCTCTTCAGCGTATCTGAAGTCTTGAAATGTAATTTTGGTTTATAGGAGCATTTATAGATTAACTAAAAGGGACTACAGGTAATTGTAATATGCAAGGTCAATTAAAGATCCACTAAAAAAAACCTAATGTTGATGACCTTATGAAATGGACTCATAGTCATAACCATTGCTTTCTTTTTCTATTATATTTTAACCTAAAAAACAAAACCCAATTTAACATTATAGTAATTGAAAAGCACCATATGTCTTGGTTTCACCAATACAAGTTTGGAAACACTAATTACCAGGATTTAGTATTGCTGAAAAACGGAATTTTTAAAGTGCTTTCAACTGGAGTATGCTACAAAATGAAATGTAATTCATTCTCTAGCCTCTTTCACATTCAAAACACACTCTGGTCTTGCTGCCTTTGCACAGTAAATATTATTTGGTGGGAGGAAAAAAAAAAAAACCAGCTTCAAACAGATGTGTGTGTTTTGGAGCTCTAACCTTTTCTTCCCATATGATTAAAGCTATTCCTTTATGGACACCACAGGGGACCAGTCTCCAGTGCATATTTTAATATAAACCCGAACACTCATGTTGTGTTGGTTCTGTTGTTATTAGCCAGTCTTTTCTGCAAGTTCTTGTCTTCACTAATTAATACTCTAGGGCCCCACGTCTTGGATTCTGCACTCGTCACACAACCAGCAACAGTCACATTCTAATTAGAGCAGAGAAGCTTCTAAGCTGGTTCAGGTGACTGACAACTCCAACTACTGTTTTAATTTGCTTATAAGGTTTTTCTATTGCTCACCTACAAAGTGGTAATTTTCCAGAGATCGCAAATCATAAATGTGTTCTCTGGCACTTGTAACAACACGCTCTGATCCATTTCTTATGAGGTAAGCTAGGAGCAGCAACGACTGTAAAAATACAAAAGCACCAAATGAATTAATGAAAGAAATTCTGGTAGAGCTTTGTTAAGTGGTTAAAAAAAATAATTCCAACATTAGCAAATAAATAATTTTCATGTGGAGGGGGTTTCTTAACCTTACACTAGACTTTACACAACTTATATTAACAATTTAAAGTTCCTCTTAGATCAAGCATAAAACATCATTATAAACTACTGGATACCTTGTATTAAAAGATTAAAAAAAACAGTAATTCTGATGTTCACAAACACCTGAATATATGATGTAAATGAACACTAAGCTTCCAAAAACAAGCTTGATTTTTACTTTTCATCTAGGCACTATGGAAGCATAAATTATTAGAAACATCAGTTTAGAGAAAGTAATTACTTGGTAATTATATGATTGCATAATATTTTCCCCCAGTTAAAATGTAATGTTTGAGGTAGAAGATATGTGTGACTTTCTCTTAAAAAGGTTCTGCCAACAAATAAAAGACAAAAACTTAACATTTAAGAAAATTTTGTTAAAAATTACTCTTAGAATGACTGCTAACAAGTATGGAGTATTTCTTTTTGAGGGAATGGAAATGTTCTGGAATTAGGTTGTGGTGACTATTGCACAAATGCCATTATAATAATGATCACTAAACTGTACACTTTAAAATTCTTACTGGTAGTCAGAGTAAATGCAACTGAACTTAATACTGCTTGGAACAAAGTTCATTTAAAGATGATTAGATATATGAAAATTTGAGTTAAGCTGATGAAAGTGAGGGGCACAAAAAGCTCATCCTACAGGTTTATTCTTTAAGAATGTAGTTTCCTTGAGAATTATTATTTTTTTTAAATTCACTTTAAAAAGTATATTTAATTTAGTGATTTCAACTATGTGATCACATCTATCGAATAAACTAAGGGAATGACAGTGAATGTTTTTTCAGAAAGAAACAAACAAAACAAAAAATCAAGTAATTGAAGTTTAGATTTTTTTAATCCTGATAGCTAGAAACATTACTTTCAAAGTTTCAAACAAGAATGCTATATTCCATTTTGCAAAGAAAAATTCATTCTGAATCACAATACAGTGAAGTGGAAGAAGAGATGACTTTGCTGCTTTAGAATTATGCATCGTATGATTAAGAAATGAGAACAGAATGAAAGAAATCTGATAGAATGTGTATGTGAAAATTTTAAATGTTACAATTTAAGTATAGTATGTTTTAGAATCTATTATCTTTTAAATTATATACTTTTTGGTTCAGAATACTAAGTTATAACTCAGGCAAATTTTTATGTAGAGATGACAAACCATTTTAAATTTACTATTCCACATCATAATTGTTCACACACTAAATATCTATACTATTACAGACTCATTTTTGATATGCACAATTATATACTTAGGGAAAATTTAACAAATTAAAATAGAACAGTTAGAAGTATTACTAATATTAATTTTAAACATTTCACATTGAGAATAGTTTATGATGACTATAAAACAGAACACAAATAACAAATCTACTTCTTTTACCTGTTCTATAATATGCTGTTCTAGGATGTGATGTACTTCAAAATAATTTATGTATGTACACCATAAATTTCAATTATTATTTTTAATAATAAAAAATTAATAGTCATTTATTTTGCTAATAAAAACTTGTTGACTATTTTCTATGGGAGATGCCAAATATTCAAGTCATGCCATCAAGCAATGGATTGAACCTGATGATCCCAGAAATCTTGCCTGTTCCAATGGAAAAAAAATAGTTGGCAGAAATTTCCACAACCCAAAAAAGCCATCTACAATGCGTAAAATGAACGAATCTTACTACAGGTTTGCCCTGCAAATATAGAGAACCATGAATTGTAGTCTATCATTATTTGAGTATTTACAAAGTTCTTACTTGTTCCACTCCATATTTAGCAATGGGGGAGAGTGGGGGACACTATGCTGTTTATGGGGGCATCTGATAAACAGTGATAATACTCAGCACTTTGCTGTGGCTGTTAGGTGTTGTCAAGTTGGTTTTAAATCATAGTGACCCTACGTACAACAGAATGAAACACTGCCCAGTCCTGCACCATCATCACAATCATTGCTATGCTTGAGCCCACTGTTGCAGCCACTGTATTATCCATCTCAATGAGGGTGTTCCCCTTTTTTGCTGGCCCTCCACTTCACCAAACATGATGCCTTTCTCCACGTCCCTCCTAGTAATTATTTGTTTTCAAGTATTTATGTCAAATAATAAAAAGAGACTTATGCTCATACCTTATAAACTCTTCTCCAATTCTTTTTGTTGTCTTTTAACATTCTTGACCAAAGCATATTCATAAGTTCTGGAAATTGTTCATACATAAATGTAGCCCTTAAAAAAAAAAAAGAGTAATTTTCCTTAAGAGTTAGCAGTATGTTAATTCTGACAGTAGATGGCAGGCTTGTTCTAAGTTACTGTGTTTTCTCAAAGCACTTAAAAAAATTATTGAGTTTATTTTTTAAAATTTAGGTACACTTCCTTGAAAATGTTTTCCCTATATTTTGTGCAATACCTAGCACATCTGTAAACCCCAACAATTAATATCATGCTTTATAAGCCCTATACTCACTAGTATAGTTGCCCAGATGTTCATCAAGAAAAACATTTTATAACTTTACTTATTTTACATGCATTTGTCAAAATTTTACATAGTAAGCAACGGTGTCTAAATGTTACTAAAAACCAAATATCTTGTTTCACCTTTTTTGAGCTAATTTTTAAGAATGGACCCTGCATAAAACTTTCCACATTATTATCTGAACAATTATGCAAAATTTGTATTTGGTAGCTGAACAGCTTAAAACCAAAAGCAAATTTCTTATTTCTGTTTAAAGATACTTGGGTTCTTTCTGCACTGCTGAGTCAAATTATCACTTACTTGGCAATCTCTCCCATGAGTTGCCCAGAAGGTCCCCAAGGATCATCATTCGTTGCTTCTCGAACCTTAGACTCAATCTCTGAATAATTCATAACCACATTGGTGCTGCAGAGAAAAAAAATGCACGCACATACGCACAAAGATTAGCATCAAAACTGAGAAACACATGAAAACTTAATAATGACACTACTGGGTGTCCTAATGAGATACCTTTACAGGGTGGGAAAGAAAACATCTTTTGTGCACAGGCTACCCTGAGGATACTGTATAACACATTTAAGTTATCTTTAAGAAGATTTTACTATTCCACTAGCCTTCAAGAATACAGATGAGAGACAAGAGATTACATTAGAGTTGGCACAAGCCCAGTTAAAAAAAGATGGCTTTGGACCAAATTAGAAAGGAAAGTGAACTGGAGTCTATTACACAACTAAATTGTCATTTTCCTAACCAGTCCTGGTTTACAGGCAGGCTTATAGAAATTCTGTAAATTAATAAGCAAAATTATGTAACAGTTAAACATTATCAATGTAACAAGAAAAACCAGCAATGACAAATCAAAGATAATATTCTCTGAAGATGAACATTCAACTGCAATCCCTTGGTCCCCCTCCACATTTATTGTATTATATGCATTTTTCCATGTCACATAATCACAGTAACACTTTTAATGGCTACATAATATTCCACCAAGAGGCTATATACAATCATGTATTTAACATTTCCTTAAGACTCCAACAATGGTCACGAACATGGGCTCTATAGGAGTCAAAAAGATCTGACTCCATTCACTTATTTTGTAACTTCTGGAAAAATTATTTTAATTTCCTAATCTCAGTTTCTTAAAATGTAAAATGGGAATAAGCATGGCATAGTGCCTAAGGCATTTGACTGCTAACCAGAAGCCTGGCAGTTCAAACCCATCAGCCACTCTTGGGAAGGAAGATTGAGTAATCTGCTTCTGTTGAGATACTGCCCTGGAAACCCAAGGAGGGGTTGCTATGAGCTGGAAACGACTAAGGTGGCAGTGAGTATGGTTTTTTTTTGTTTACTACTTCAAAATGTTTTTACAGCATATCAAATGGTACTTATTAGCAGTGTCTGACATATAGGAAGTGTTCATTCAGTGTTAGCTATGATTATTATTATTTATTACTAAAGACAATAATCACCTGTTAGAATTTAAAAAGATTAAATTGTATTTTATAAGAAATAATTAACTTTGAAAAGAATACCTTAAAGTTAAGACATGAGACCATAAAGCATCTGGTTGTTAAAACAATTCTTCATGCTTACATGAATTTAAGAATTCAAAGTCATTCTGACAAGGAATAAAGAAATATAATGAAAATGTGATGTGCTATATAGTAGTACTCATGTGACACCTAAAGCTCTAATTATATTATTGAACAATTGTTATTACTGAACAATTGTTATAACAGATATCTGTGAATGTTAATTCAAATCTTCCACTTATGTCTTAGAAATAGTGAAAAATTAGAAATGTGGTAACTGTTGCTTACATATACCCTCCACTTATGCCATATAGGGTTTTTGGTCATCAAAAAAAGCCGCCCCCCAAAAAAAAGGTTTGGTTGAAAGTGGCACTCTAATCTCTTTCTCAAATATAGACAAATATAAATTTCAAAAGTATTACAAAGGTTTCATTTCTTCACCTTTAAGGAAAAGACTAATAAACAATTTGGATTCAAATTTTAAAAGAACCATTGTGTGCATAGATTTGACTTGCCAAATCACTGAATAAATCTGGTTTCTAGATTTATTATTCAGAACACTGTTCTACTAAAGAGGAAAAGTGAAATTTTATTATACTCATATAAATCCTAGAAAAAGCTGCCTTCTAAAATATCAACTTAGTCTGATAAAATAAATATAAATTATTCTCCGGGACTAAAATAAACTCAAAGTCTCCACTGCCTCCTTCACATTGTAAGATAATCAATGAATGAATTTTCATAAAAATCCAGTAAAGGTTCTACTGACAGTAATTTTGGGTATAAATACAGATTTTTTTTTTTTTAAAAAGAACTTTTTCCCTCCTAATTTTGCAAACAATGAAACCAAAATAAAATCAAGGTGGCCAACGACAGATTTGCAATTAAAGATGCCACAAAATGATGGATTTCAGAATGCTTTTGTTTATCTGAGTGGCTGAAGAATGCGTGGTTTAGGCAGTTAAAAGTGTCAAAATGCAGCTGTGGGAATGAACAATAGCAATTAGGATTATAATTCACCCAAGCATTTCATTACCAAGAATGCACTTGAAATCTGTTTGCATTGTTTAATCTGTTGAAGAACACGATGAAAGGAGTTAATCTCCAGTCCACATACATGAAATATTTTTACTAAAGCCTTCATAAATACTGTAGCTTTCAGAACACTACTTTCCTTGTTCAAGCTACAAAGGCCCATGAGTCAAATGAGAGAGGTCCTGTTTCCATAACCCTTCACAAGATTCTTAGTTGAAGGCCTGTGTTTGAGTGCTGTACATTTAGAGAAAGAGATGGCAAAGAGCCAATAATTTAAGAATCTAATTTTTTTTTTTTTGGTTGAAAAACAATGGGAACTAGGTAAAGTGATTACCTGCCATTAGTACATACAGTACAGTTATAAAATATATCCACAGAAGGATACAGCAATTACACTAAAACAAATGATCACTTCCACGAAGACAATCAGGCTCTATTTTAAAACCACTTTTCCAATGAAATTGTTGCTACCAGAAAATGTAAAGATCTCTCTCAAGATGAGATCTGATGGCATAAAAAACTCCAAAACAAAGTATTTTTAAGCTACATTGAATTAAAAAAACAAATGTAAATTAAAACTAAAACTAAACAAACAACAAAAAAAATACCACTGGACTTAGTGCCTAAGGCTTCTGCTAACCAGAAGGCTGGCGGTTCAAACCCACTAGCCACTCCTCGGAAGGAAGGTTGGGCTATCTACTTCCATAGTGATACTGCCTCAGAAACCCAAGAAGGGTTCACTATGAGACGGGTCTGAGTCTGACTCGACAGCACATAACAACTTCGAAAAAGGTAAAAACGGCATTTCGATTCTTCCTTTCCCATGTTTCCTATGGCCCTGATTTCCATGCCCTATGCATAATTCTGGTGACCTTTTAAAAAAGGAAAACAAACAAACAAAAAAGAAAGAAAGAAAAATGTACACCCAAATATAAAAGGATAAAAAAGCTAGTTTAATTACCAAAACTTCCTGTGATTGACATAAATGCTTTAAAATAGGCTATTTCAGACACTAGAGGGGGTTCTCTCATTAGTTTTTCAAACAGACACAAATGCAGACAAAGGTCTAGGATCTGTTCTGCAAACAAAATGATAGGGAAAACAGCAACAGTCTCATACCATTTGGACTAACACTAATAGTCCAATATAAGCACCTTTTGGACTTCTATCAATCCTAAATTGAAATTTCTTATTTGAAAAAGTTTTAAATTCTCGCTCTGCACTCAGGTTTTAAAGAAAAGGACAGGGCAGATCATTATTAGGACATTACATTAAACACTGAAAGTCCGTGGATGATGTATGTTTTCCTACTTACATTTTGTTTTCATATAATACTTAAGAAGGCAACCAAGAATACTCTGATAACACTGAAAATTTTTTCTGTATATTATTTTAAATGGGCTTGGTAGTGAGAGCAAAAGAAAACTCTGGACCTGCAAGAATTTCTAATGATTAATATTTCTGTTAATCACTACCAATAACCACCTTCAATCTCCATGTTCTTACCCACACCTAACTTCCTCATACACACAGGCATACCTTGTTTTACTGAGCTTTGCTTTATCACACTTTGTAGACATCGTGTTTACAAATTGAAAGCTTATAACAAATCTGAGTCAAGCAAGTCTATTGCTGTCATTTTTTCAACAGCACATGCTCACTTTGTGTTTCTCTGTCCCATTTTGGGAAGTCTCACAAGATTTCAAACTTTTTCATAACGCTATTTGCACACTTAGTAGACTACCAAACCAAACCAAAACCCAACCCACTGCCACTGAGTCAATTCTGACTTATAGCAACCCCCACTGCATTTCAAAGACTGTAAATCTTTACAGAAGTAGATTGCCTGATCTTCCTCCTGAAGAGTAGCTGGTGGGTTTGAACTACCAGCTTTCTGGTTAGCAACCAAATGCCTTACCCATCAGTACAGTATAGTGTAAACATAACTTTTATATATACTGGGAAACAAAAAAAAACTTGTGTGACTCATTTTATTGCGATACTCACTTTACTGAGGTGGTCTGGAACCAAACTAGCAGTATCTCTGAGGTATGCCTGTATATAAAAACCAAAACCATACTCACTGTTGATTGCAATTCCTAGTGATCCTATAGGAAGGAGTAGAACTGCCCCATAGGATTCCGAAGGCTGTAAAAATCTTTACAGAAGTAGACCACCACATCTTTCTCCTGCAGAGCAGCTGGTGGGTTCAAATTGCTGACGCTTAGGTTAGCATAGTGCCCAAGGCACTTGACTGCTAACTAGCAGGCTGGTGGTTCAAACCCACCAGCCACTCCTCCGAAGGAAGGCTGGGCAATCTACTTCGGCAGTGATATTGCCTCGGAAACCCAAGGAGGGGTTGCTATGAGTCGGGGCCGACTTGATGGCACATAACAACAAGGTTAGCAGCCAAGTACTTTTAACCACTGTGCCACCAGGGTTCCATAAAACAGGAAAATGTTATAATGGAAGAAAAAAGGTAAAAGAAAAACACATTTAAGAAATGCTGCAAAATTTTTGGAGGTTGTTGACATTTGATCACTAGCATTGAAAATTATCATTTTGAAAACAATCTAATAGTCACCAGAAAGCTCAAATAATGTGCCTTATTTTCATGTGTTTCAGGCTTACTCAGTATGTTTTTCTCTGCATATGTTTAACTTTCTCTTCGCTTAAGACAAAACAGTTTTCTTGAAATTAGGTGAAAAGAAGAGCAAGCTTCTGTGCTCTGATAAAGACTGATAATGATTTAAGATCACACTGTTCAAATGTAACTTAACTACTACAGTGTAAACTAGTTTAGCAGTGCACATGACAAAACCGTAACTTAAGAAA